CAAGCTAATCCCCCGTGCGTGGTTAAACAGTCTCCTGGGTCCTCCCCCCGACCAAAGGCAGCCAACACAACTGAGGGCGTTTCCGATGCACACGAAAATCCCGTATACACAGATTAGTTTCCCCTTTTGCACGGCGCTCCCTAAGTTCTTCTAATGCAGTTTTCAATTTACTGCTCTGGTCCGGATCAAGATCCCTGAGGAATCGCACCGGAGTCCCCTTCAGCTTGTGGGTCCGCTTGAGTATCGCTTTGGCCTCGCTTTTTGCTCGAAGAACCACTTTCAGTGGTCGTGGAGAATTATCCTGGCGGGGTTTTCCAAGCCTGAATGCCGCTTTTACTCTGATCGATGTCGCTGGTTCCACCTCGCCGCCATCAAACAAGGTAACCATGTGCGACCTCAGCAGCGGCAGGTCGTCGTTCAGGCGAGCCTGGACAGTGGTGGCCTCGGCCTCGGAAGATTGACAACAATAAGGCACTGAGATCTCGGAGGAAGCTTCCTATGCTGCATAGGTTCCTGTGAATCGCGGGGGCACCGCTCAACGCACCGTGCCTGGATGTCGTGGAAAAGGGAGTCGAGTCTGTCCGTGAGGGCGATGCAGCAGACGATATCCCTGCCCTTCTTTTCGAGTGCTTCTGCTGCGGTGCAACTGCAGGAGCTGCTGTTCTAAGTGGAGTGGAAATGACATCTGCATACGAAGGGGCAATTTTCACAACAGTGGCCGACGTTATAGGGGTTAGAGATATTTTTGCCAATGGCGAGCTAGCAGGCAGAGCTGTTATTTTTGAAGAAGCAGATAAGGGAGGCCAATGGGTGTATGTGGGTTCCAAGGTAACAGGTACTTCTACTGTTGCTTTTGTCGTCGCGCTCAATTCAGCCGTATGCGTCCCCCGCAGTCGGTTAACCACTTGTGTCGGGCATTTTGGTCGTTTGCTGGATTTCCGGATCTGGCTAGCTGGTGTGATCCGTGAACTTAAGCCTGCTATTTTTGCCTCAAGTGTGGCGCTTTTTCAATTCGCTCTTTCTTCGGCTCCTGACAATGGCCTCCCGTACTTGTGTGTGATACAAGTGATGCATTTTACAATCGGGATTTCCGCACGTTCTGTACAGAACCATATACGTTCTGGCTGAGTGGATAACTGATATGCCTTTTTTACCAAGAGTTTGGCACATGAAAGGTGAAAGTGTTTTAGGCAGTGTGTGCAAAATAGAAAACAGAAATTAAGCTTGACCGAACTGCTGTAATTCAAGTGTGTCGTTAGAATGCATTCAAGTTTAAATTGACGACCGTGATCCAAATTACCGTTGCCGAGTTGAGATTCGTTCAAGAGTGTAAGAAATAATTGTTTTTGTCCGATGAGATGATCATTTTCCGGGGGATTCGATGACCCAATTTGATTAGAGCAAAAAAATGTGCCAGCGCACGTTTACTCCGTGCAATCGCAAATGTTTTTCATGCAACCGAAGCTGCCCGTTGCCGGATAGTACAATGTATGTTTACCTTACTTGCTTTGTAATGACCGTCTGAAGAACTCAAATATGGCTTGTTATAAAAACCGGAATCTAATCACTAAACTCAAATTCAATTTAGATTCATTTAGGGGGATATGTGCAACAACACAGCGAACAACGCCATGAGATTGAAGCTGCAATTATTTGAGAATAAATTAGTAATTAGAATTTAAACCATCTATCACAATTTCGTCTGATTTGTATTGAGGAAGTTAACTAAAGGTCCACCAGTTGTAGATAGTAAATGAAAAACCGCAGCACTTCCTTTCACCTCCTGTTCAAATGTACTTCTGTCCGCCTTGTCCAGCACATTGAAGTGTATCAGTTATGAGGAGAGTGATGACCTATTTTTACTACAGAATTGCACAAATCTGTCCCCTCCACATAAGAAGCAGCCATCATGTTGTCACCTGGATCGGATCTCACACATCTACTTTCCAATGGGAGTAATCCATCCCTAAGTGAACATGCAAGACATTTCCGTGTAAATGACACTGTGGTTGTCATGCAGGAATATGAAGATGAGTGTCTGGCGTCTAGTCTCTCAATAGTTTCTGGTCATATTGTATAACTCGGACTTCACCACCGGACACAAAATAGCCCATGCCATCCAAATTGAGGAAATCAATATTTAGAGGACACACGTCGGATAGCTTTGTACATAGAGTAATAAGATCCACCTCGCACTGGATCAAACAATATTGAATCATCAACCCATATAAATGTAAATGGTCAGATATCAATATCTATATTTTAGTGCTGAAAGTTACTAGATCTCATTGTAAGTAGTACGATACAATCCGACAAACTAACTAACTTGAAAGATTGAACTGCTAATGTAAATGGTTACTCTATTAGTGGTAGACTTCTGATCAAGTTTTTCCAAGGTGATTTTTTCAAAAAATGCCATCCAAGACGTAAATGAGTTTATTCCATGCCGGCCTTTGCATGTTTGGTGCATTGACTAACGTGAACTTGCAAAATTCCTAGGGCAAAAGGAACATTTCCAAATACCGATTAGCTTACATCAAATAATCACAGTCGATCATGATCCCGTCCTAAATTTTTTTCTGAAGCTCAGTCCCACTCGCTTTTTTTCAGGTCAATGAACTGATCGAAGAGAGCTGTGTACTAGCCAGTCGGGGAGAGATTAGTGCAGCCTTTGAAAAGGCCAAGGAAGCCGGTCGAAAAGAACGTGTCCTTGTGCGTCAAAGGGAACAGCTCGGAGTGGCGGATCAGATCAATTTAGACCTCACCTATTCTGTCCTGTTCAATTTGGCCAATCGGTACGCGGCCAGTGGCATGTATCAGGAAGCATTGAACACATATCAGGCGATTGTACGAAACAAGATGTTCGCACATGCCGGTTAGTTGTTTTTCATTCAACTTACTCAGTCTGTTTGTTCTGCCTGATTTGAATTTTTCTATAGTATCTTTTCAGCATTGATCGTATACTTCTCAAACGTTATAAACTGATCAGGTGAAACTGGTGTAAACTAGCAAATAAGTAACTGCATCGAATATCTTGATATAAATCCCTACTTCATACGTTTTAGTTGATACAGTTTGTTAGTGATTCGCATTTCAACCCCCGAAGGTTTTGCCTAATGTCTGGGAAAGAAGAGTACCTGAACACACGTTTTGAACTGACTGCGTCACCTCATTTTCTGTTATAGACGAGCATCAGAAATGTAAAATTAAATGATATAAAATGATAGCCGGTTCGGGCAGAAGATCACGACGAAATGTCTACGTCACACTGCATAGGTTTGGCGGAGAAACCGGAAAGATAATTCCGAAGTAAGGTGAAGAGTGTTTGGTTAGACGCAACCCTAGGGGGTCATTTGATTAGTCACTTTTCTCTTCTTTAAATTCAATTATAAAATTGTCGATTGACTAAAGATAATAAAAATGTCTATGATGATTGAAGAGTGATTCCAGTCCGTCACTGAAATGTGATAAAACAGGGGTGGGTGGGGGTGGAATCAGTAAGGCCTACCACCGGATAGGCTTTCCAGACTTGCGAAACTTTTCGTTACAAGTCATATCTGCAAGACGGTTCAGGATAGTCAACCTATGGTCAGACACAAAGGCATGTAACCTTTGACCAAAGTGCGTGATCGCATAGATCACGTGGTCCGTTTAATCGTGTGACTAACCTAATCATTATATATCGTTTTATTGCATAAAACCAAATTCATACATATCTCACATTTTCATTCCCTATTTTTCAGAGCAGTATAATAGAAGCTGCAATTACGTATACCAGTAAAAATAATTGGAGCTGGTTTTTCATGCATTAGAATTCCAGAGCATACATACTCATAAAATTATTTGATAATAGCAAGGTGTCATACAACGAGCAGTCAGGTTCGGAATGATTTCAGAAGAGTCATAAGCCGGATGACTTGTGCTGAAATGAGAGATGAGATGCTCGTAACAAGCTTGCAAAGATCGGTGGTGCTATTTCCCTGAATAGATAAACTGAGAAATTTTCTGATCAGCCTTCGGTAGTCACGTGAGCAGTGCGCGTGCGTTCTACCTGCAAACGCTTATGCATTTACTCATTATTCTCTTAACACTAGTTTATACGAATTCTCGACCTTTCGCTTGAATTTGCTTATAACATTCCAATCTTTATCCTACTGGTCTATCAAAATGGGTGACCAAAAGACGGCAACCCTGAACTGGTGCACGAAAGTGCATGGTTAATGATTGTAAAAACTGAAACTGAAACTGAAACATGCAAGGTCTCGGGCTTGATTCTCTGTTGGCTTGATGTGTTTGTGCAGCTGTTAAAACCCAACTAGGTACAGAAAGCTGCAAAGCTCAGCCCTGCACTTTCGTGCGACACTTTGATTACTGTCTCACATATATCACATATACTGAGATGTATTGGCACGAATATGAACCATGATGATATTAATGATAATAATAATTTTTGTGTTAAAAGCAAGAATATAAAGAGAGTATTACCAGGAGATATGGTGGAGGAGAATATGGCAGGAAAAGTAAGCAATCAGAGAAATTTCGATAATTTTCATGAAAATCAGTATCCATAGTTAGAAACAAATAAATAAGATCAACCTGTTAGGTATAAATCATCAAGGGTTTTCTTAATGCGGAAAAAATGCTATTCTAATTTCAGAGAGTTATGTTTGTTTAAAAGTGAATTCTGAGTGAATTTCCCACTGCCTCCCATTTTGTCTATTCCGTGAGTTGTTATATAACCGTATTTCAACGGGTAGATCGGGCTCCAAACGGGTGTTTGTGTGAAATTGATCTCAGGGTCAAAAGTCCAAGTATTTGCACACGTGTTGGGACTCAAATTTCGGTTCCTTGTTTGTTTTTATTGTTTGTAATATTGAATGTGTAATTGCATGTTTACGAAAAACTAAAACGAGCTTGTTCGCCAAGCTGGAGTTCCCATTTATCAGATTTTGAACAAATAACACCAAAACCACTACACATTCCGTAACAATACATTCGAGTCAGGTGATATTTTAATTAATCGAGATATATGAAACCATAATACCTGTTAGATTCCGTCGGCATCAAGGCACTAACTGAAATGAGAGCTTCATTTGAGAATGCAGTCATGAAATCTAATCAAACAGACAAACTTTTGTACTTCGTCCAACTCGCGTAAACATGTCAATCATCATCGGACCTCGAATCGCGCGATAAAATTACTTCCTTCGCTTCGATTCGATATATTCTTACTGCCACTTTGAAGCAGTCTCACTTATTTGATGAACAAAACTGACGCAACAAGCTCGAAAAGATGGGTTGTGCTAT